ATGTAATTTTGACCATATTTTTTGCAATTTTAAAAAAAAGTTTCCAGGTAAGGTGTAATTATTTAAGATTCTCACAATTTTTGAATTTATTTATTTCTTTCCATTTTTCCACATTTCAAACACAATATAAAACATTCACCCCCAAAAAAATACAATATAAAACAAAAATACATATAATACCAAATACACCTAATTTTTAACGTCGTTTTGTGGCTATTTGGTGTAATTATTTGAGCTGCTTATAACTTCTTTCTTTTTGTGTTAGAAATTTATGTGTTAATTTGGCGCAACTATTTTAAAATCTTTGGCTCAGGTTCAGATCATTGTTCACAGCCTCCAACATTAAAGCTTCAGAAGTCAACACTCCTATCAGAATATAATACGGTGCAATTCGAGCGGGTTTGGGTGGATTCGGAGGTTGTCCAAGTTTAACTCAAGTTGTGTTGAGATCCGTCCAAATCTGTTCAAGCCCGAATTGTAACCCGAGGTTGTCTGCCCAAACCCGACCTGAGTTAAACCCGAATTGGCCGAGTTGCTCGAATTGGCCGAATTGTAAATGAATTTCATTTTTTTTTTTGTAGCTACATTATTAAATTATTAAAATTTGACTTTATTTTAAATTTTTTTAATATAAAATCATTAATACCATCAAAATAAATAATTTATATAATGTAAGAGAGGTGTCACAATAGTAATCCTTACAATACTTTAATATCATGTAATGGTTAATAATTTATATGTATATTTAATATTTTTATATATCTATATATGTATAATTCGGGTTTCGGGTTGCTCGGGTTGTTCGACGTCTTTGTCCAAGCCCGCCCAAATTTAATTCGGGCTTCTAAATTTTTGCCCAAGCCCATACCGAATTTAAAAATATTTTATCCAAACTCTAAAAAATTTCGAACTGGATTCAAATTGCTCAGATTGAGCCCGCCCAAGTCACACTCCTAGAATATAAGAGGAAGTTGCACGGTAAATTTATAGCATAGGTGTAACTTCAAACACTATAGAGCTAAAAGCAATACAAGAAAGTTCCCTTTGCTGGGTTACACTTTTTTCAAAAATACTTTTTAAAAATTTTTGTTTTCTTATTATTCGTATTTTTTTTTATTAATTTTTTTTAATATTTTAAACATTTTTTTTTACTTTTTAGACATACCTAACATAAATGAGATTTTTATTAATAAATCTCAATTAGAAGTGTTTTAATTCAAGAAGTCCATGAAAGAATCTTTTAACCCATTTAATCCTATGTATGTATAGTTTTATTCCATAAAGTCTTTTTTCTTAATTTACACTATTTTCTTGGACACTTATGCCCTTATATTTAATTTTGATACCCTTATAAATATTTTTTTGAACGGTTAGCAGTTTTATGATGTGAACATTCATATTTTAAAATTCACATTAGTAGGAATGTAAAATTGGCCCGTGGGTGGCCCGAAACCCGCCCGTGAGCGGGGGCGGACCCGGCCCATTGACAATGTGAATATTCACATTGACATGTTAACATTCACATTAATAGGAGTGTAAAATTAGCTCGCGTCCCGTGGCGGCGCAAAACTCGCCCGCGGCACAAGGGCGACCCGAGGCGGGCCTGGTCCAGCCCGTTGACAATGTGAATATTCACGTTGACATGTTAACATTCACATTGATAAGAGTACAAAATTGACCCGCGGCCCATGGGCGGCCAAAAGCCCGCCCGCGACCCGGGACGGGCCTGGCTCGTTGACAATGTGAATGTTCACATTGATATGTTAACATTCACATCGATAGGAGTGTAAAATTAGCCCGCGCCTTGTGGCTGCCCGAAACCCGCCCACAGCCTGTGGGCGGCCCGGGACGGGCCCGGCCTGGCCTGTTGACAATGTGAATATTCACATTGACATGTTAACATTCACATTAATAAGAGTATAAAATTGGCTAGCGGCTCAGGGCGGGCCCGACCCAACCCGTTGACAATGTGAATATTCACATTGGCATGTTAACATTCACATTGATAAGAGTGTAAAATTGGCTCGCAGCCCGTGGGCGGCCCGAAGCCCGACCGCAGCCCGAGGCGAGCTTGGCCCGACCCGTGACAATGTGAATATTCACATTGACATGTTAACATTAACATTGATAGGAGTGTAAAATTTGCCTGCTACCCGAAGCTTGCCCGCGACCCTGGATAGGCCCGGCCCGGCCCGTTGACAATGTGAATATTCACATTGACATGTTAGAATGCATATTGATAGGAATGTAGAATTGGCCCACGGCCCGTGGGTTGCCCAAAGCCCGCCCACGGCCCGAGACAGGCTCGTTTGGGTTCGGGCCTGAGTATGTCCGAGACCCTAGGTTAGGGCCTAGGTCATCACTTTGAAGCCCGGCCCGGCCCATTCAAGACTCGGTCCGAGACCCAGCCCGCCTGAGGCGCAATGTATTTTTTTGTGGAAAATAATAAAATTTTGATAGAAAAAATTAAAAAGAATTAAAAAAAAATGACCAGGCCCGGCCAAACCCCGCCTAAGCTCTAGACTAGGCCCAGGCCTACCGGCCTGACCCGAGGCTCGATCCATCGGCCCGTCCAAAGCCCGAATACCCTTGTGCCAGGGCTAGGGCCTTGGCCTAATTTTTTGGCCAGTGGGCCGGCCCGACCCGGCCCGGGAAAGGCTCGTTTGGGCCTAGGTTCGAGCCTAGTCCGAGACCCTAGGCTAGGGCCTGGGCTATCACTTTGAAGCCCGGCCCGGCCCATCAGCCCGGTTAAGGCCCATTCAAGGATCGGTCCGAGGCACGGCCCGTGCCGAGGTCTAGTGTCTTTTTTTGTGGAAAATAATAAAATTTTGGTAGAAAAAATTAAAAAGAATTAAAAAAAATAGCCAGGCCCGCTCACGAGCCGTGGGCGGGTTTCGGGCAGCCACGAGGCACAGGCTAATTTTACACTCCTATCAATGTGAATGTTAACATATCAATGTGAATATTCACATTGTCAACGGGTCGGGCCGAGCCCACCTTGGGCCACTGGCCAATTTTATACTCTTATCAATGTGAATGTTAACATGTCAATGTGAATATTTACATTGTCAACAGGCCGGGCCAGACCCACCCACGGGCCGTGAACGGGTTTCGGGCAGCCACGAGGCGCGGGCTAATTTTACACTCCTATCAATGTGAATGTTAACATGTCAATGTGAATATTCACATTGTCAACGGGCCGGACCGGGCCCGCCCCGTGCTGCGGGCCAATTTTATACTCTTATCAATGTAAATGTTAACATGTCAATGTGAATATTCACATTATCAACGGGTCGGACCGGGCCCGCCCCAAGGCGCGGGCGGGTTTCGCGCCGCCACGAGACGCGAGCCAATTTTACACTCCTATTAATGTGAATGTTAACATGTCAATGTGAATATTCACATTGTTAATGGGCCGGGCCCGCCCCGGCCCGATTTGAATTTTTTCGGGCACCCACGAAGATCGACATGGGCCAAGCCCCTACACATTGACGATATGAACATTCACATTGACGGTGTGAACATTCACATTAACGATGTGAACATTCACATTAGGGGTATTTTGGTAATTATGTCACTCATAGGACTTATTGAAACATAAGAAAATAATATGAACTAAATGAAATATAAGTAGATGAAAATGGTATTTTGATCTTCTTATCTCAAATAGGACCTAATAAAATAGTTAAAAAGAATATGGGTTTGATGGAATAAAACTCTTAAAAAGTGAATTTATCAAAAAAGCTCCCAATATAAATATACCTAAAAGATAAAAAATTGTAAAAAAAACCTTTTAAAAATTCACTAAGGCCTCGTTTGGGAACAGGCTAATTTAGTAACTTTTTGACTATTTGGCTAAAAAGGTAGGTAAAAAAAACTTGTGTGTTTGGAATGACTTTTTGGCTAATTACGAAAAGATGTGTAAAAAATAGAGAGAAAAGAGAATCTTTGACTTTTTGGTATGGGTTGTTGGCTTTTTGGCTAATTTAGGCCTCGTTTGGGAACAGGCTATTTTAGTAACTTTTTGGATTTTTACGAAAAGATGTACAGAAAAGTAGAGAGGTGATGTGACTAATTTTGGTTGACTTTTTGGCTAAAATAGTCAGTCCACAAACGAGGCCTTAGTAACTTTTTGACTAATTGGCTAAAATAGCCTTTTGCCAAACGAGGCCTAAATATCAAAAATACAAAAAAAAAGAAAAGAGAATTTAATACATTTTTTTATATTTTCATGTATTTATTAATTTTTTAAAATATTTTTTTACAATTTTTTTATTTTTTAGATACATCTAAGTAAGGTACATCTAAAAAAATAAAAAAATATTTAAAATTTTAAAAATATTCACTAAAAACAAAAACCAAAACCAAAAAATTCAGTTTTCAAAAAACTTAATCTAAAAAACTCAAACCAAATAATTTGAATGAACCAAACATATGGGGAGTAAAAGCCAACAACCATCCTCCAATTGACTGTTTGCAGATGGGCAAGCCATCAAGCAACCAAGTACTCAAATGCAAACTCATGTTGAACTTAGATAAGGATAATTTAGCAGATAGATGTACGTGATTGCTGTTTCTTGGAACCCAATTCACTGCCTATAGATGTAGAACACGTTCAACATGACAACATCCCAATTTAGCTGATAGATTTTGTGATTTTTTTTGCGTACTGTCCAGTTACCAGATACAATGCAGGAACGGGATAGCTAAATCTGTATTATTAGAATAAATCTCCTAAAATTCCAGAGGTTTCTTCAGGAAATAAATGAATTCATTGTCAAGTCAAGAAATATTTTTGAACATGTGGGCCTGGATCCTAGTTTCCAGTTTCCATGAATCGTACTTAAAAATGTTAATCTGGAAAATAATACATAATGATCAGGCAACTAATTTGAAGGATACTTAAAGTGTGACACTATCATTCCATAGATGACATATTTAAGAAACATTTTGGAACGACAAACAACACATTCAACACATATAACATATAATCCCACAGGTAGAACTCAGAAACAAAGGTTATATCATAAACATTTCCTTGTTTATGTTTCTCACAGATTGAAAATTCAATGACAGTAACTACAAAACATGTTTTACAATAACCACAGCAGCTTAAACCTATGGTCACATCACACTATTAATGTGGAATGACTTTTAGAAAAGCCATTACTTTACAGATTCAATGCCCCATGCAAAGACATTATGCATGATAAGAAATATACATAAATATTTGTCACAACTTGTTAATCAATCATCTATGGGCTATGGTACCTGCAAAGTCGCAAAATACTTGTATTCCATCTGTGTATCTGTTCAGCAAATTCCAGCATATAATAAGTTCAGGATAGGCATGATATATTTAGTGAATTGCACAAAAACAAATGAAAAAAATCAAGCCAAAGTGTACACAATCAAACAAGGCATAGTAAATAGTTTGTGTGTATGAAACCTGATGCATCCCTGGAAGCCTATATCTAAGTTTATGATTTTCCAAAACCGGCAGCCACCTTCCTTCTTTGTCTGGAAGCTATATTTTCTGGGCTTGGATTTCCAGTCTTATCTTCATATTTCTTTTCCAAGGCCTGTCAACAATACAATAAGAACTAAGCAATAAGATAACTGTTCCTTCACTTCAAAGTCGCAAATAATGATGCCGATACACAGCCATATATTAAAAGTGGGACAATCAACCTGAATTACTAAAGAATGTAGCTTTTACGTAAGTTAGCGACAGTATTGATCAATTGTTTTACAATTTAGTGTTATGATGAAACTCTCAGTTATGCGGAGCATAAGCAGCAACCACATGACTTCATTAGAAAGTCCACTCAGCAAAACATGTTGGAACAGCTTTTTATTTTTTTTAAAAAAATGCAATGCTGCATCGTTTTTCAAAAGAGAAAAATATAATTTACTCAAAATAAGGAATAAACGTGGACAATTAATTTATCAGAAAAATCCAGTTCTAAGCAACCAAAATATTAGTACTTCTGAAAAACAGTCAAAGGTTGTTATTATCCATCTCTAGTTTCCTCTGCACATAGCAATGTAAAAAGCTGGTAACATATTTCAATCAAAGAGAATAATTTCTACGGATTATCATGGTGAAATGTTTTTATGTAGTTCAAATATTCAGGCAATCAAGGATCATAAATTCTACAATCAACACGAGATCATCGGCATGCTTTACTCACCTGTAGCTCTGCACGAATATTGTCAAGAACTTCTTCAGTCATTCTATCACAGAAAAGAATTCCCTGCAAATCCATGAGCCATCTTAGAGTTAATTGGTATTGCCATGGCATGGGACCTAAGACAACATCAACCTTTTCAAGCAATTGTGGGCATTATTCTCGTGTCTGTTAAAACTTATTGCCTATTTTGTTCTCAAAATCCATTCTACATGTAATGCCTAGATTATCAACCCACACACCCTGCCTTCCACTTCAGATTTCTTAAGGTTAACATGCTGCGCACATCATATGTGTCAGATACCACCTCTTGTTAAACTTCCTAGTTTAGTCCATACTCTATCAAGAGTAATACAAATTAGGCACTGTATCTAGTGCAGCAAGCAAAATTATGGTCACTGTTACATGTGACGGAATTATTAGGACAAATTTGCATTTAAATTTTCATATATTGGCATAAATTCCCAGATTAAGGGCACACATGTTGATCTCATCTGCTTCTATGAAAATTATAACATTGCTAAGAATTTTGGAAAAATAACTCATCAAAACCAAACAAGTTCAGTTTGTAAAACTTTCAGCTAGACATGTCACCAGAAATTTTATAGGATTGAATTTTTCTATTTTTTAACTTGCAATCATAAACAGAGTGGAAATAGAATCAGGAACCTGCAAATGATCAAATTCATGCTGAAACACACGTGCAGGAAGGTCCGACAAGTTAAAAACAAATCTGGCACCAGTAATATCCCTTGCATCAATCTTTACAGACTCTGGTCTCTGAAAATTTTAAAATGTCAGGCAGCTCGAAGACCATATTATCTGATAAAAAAAAAATGACAGGCAGTTTAAAGATCAGATCATAAATACAGACAGCTTCTGATATTTTACAGATTCTGGGTTATAAAAAAATACAGCATGACACAGATTGATTAGTGAGTATAAATTATAGGCACATAGACCCAAAACAAAAACAAACAAACAAACAAAAAAGAAAAGAAAAAAAAAAAGAAAAAGAAGAAAAGAGGATAGAAACAGCTTAACTTCCATCACTAAATACAGTAATAGTTGACTAACTTATTGAACAACACACTAATATCATCTATCCCCCACTTCTATAGGGAATAAAAGGAAAGCAAGCTCGAGTTAAGGTAATAAAGCATGTCCGATATAAGTAAAGATACGGAACTCATATAGCGGAACTCTATGAAGTTGACCCAGAAGAGTTTGACTAAGATATAATTAAGTTGCAGAGAGTTGGAACAATATCTGAGAAAGAGCCAGAAAATTTTGGGGACTTCAAACATGACATGTCCTAGAAAACTATGAAAATTAAAACATTATCAAGTAGAAGTGAAATTAACAAATTGCTCTTAACTTAAATGACTGGCATCCACAGCCTAAGCTCACTTGAAGTACTAGAGGCAAATTCTATTATGTGGTTAATATCTGAACTAATAGATATATTAACTTCCTTGACAAAAACATTCACCGGAAAACAAAATATGAAAATGTGTGTACATGTGTTGTTTTCTTCTTCATTTTTTTCCTTTTTTTTCCCCCCGAAGGGTGGGGGGGATGCTTTTAACAGGGAACCCGCCATATAATACTAGGATAGTATCTTTTCAAGCGCACTCAAGCATGAGCAGAAAAATATAAACATCCAAAAACTTAGACATGCCCCAATGACTGATTCATGTTGCACTCAGATAAACATACAATTGCATGTCTGTGCATGTTTTTAAAGTTTGGTTTCTTTGTGTAGATCTCACTTATTCACATATACAATCAGCATTTTCCCAAGATCTATGGAAAGACTCATTGGGCAAAGTAACTTCATTACTAGCCAAAAACCAATACAAAATTTAAAACCCAAAAATGAAACAAATATACCTCCACATCTGCATAGATCCCTGGAAAGGATAAGCACCCTTCATTAAAGAGCACCACCTTTTTCGAATATTTGCTTACTCTAGGATTTACAAGAATAATCTCCTCCCCTTCACCGCGTTCCCCAACCGGATTAAACACCATAAGTTGAACATTAATTCCAACTTGGGGTGCTGAGAGACCAATGCCATCAGTTCTGTGGACAAAAGGAAGTCAACAAGTATTGTTCACACTTCTATAAATAATAGAATTGCTTATAAGTGTGTAACATATACAATGGCTGGTTAAATGTGTACGTGAGTTGTACACCAATGGCACCTTTTGGTGGATTACAATATCTATCAACTTGTTGGCATTTCTTGCTTAGCCTTAAAATTATCTGAATCTAAGTATAAAGGGAAATTAAGTTTGGAATTTTCAAAAGCAACACAAATGATTACTTTTGGCAAAAAGTGCCTGATCAATTTAGATTAGTACTCAGAAGCATAGTTGTCAAATCGGGATTCATATCGTGAATCGAATCGAATCGTGAATCGTAAAGATTCGGTCACTTTTTCTAAATTACTTAAAAACATATATCTACACATTTAAATATTAAATATATCTTATGAATATAAAATATTTACACTTAAATCAACAAAAATGTTATTTTGAATGATAATCGCGTAATTTAATAGGTAAGAAGTTAACAAAGGTTCCTATGTAAAATCACTATCTTACCTTTTTTTTTTATTTTTTAAATATTTTTTATCAACCATTCTTAATAAAAATAATAACCAAATAGACAAATTATTAATTTCTAAAGTAACAATAGTTTACAACGATATTGATATTTGGATAATAAGTATATATACTTTTCTAAGTAAGAGTGAACAAATAATAAGAAAGAATTATTTAGGATATTTTATTTTAAAGCCTAAAACATTTTAAAAAGTATAACTGACCTCACACATGTAATATTCAATTTAATAAAATAGTAATAGATAATTCATAGTGTAACTTTAATCTTAAATATCTTTAGAAGATATATTACAATTTTTTGAAGGGAAAAAAAATGAGAAGAAAAGTTAAAAATATGTTAGGTCTGACTGAATCTGACTGAATCCTATAAAAAACTCCATGATCACTAAAATAACAACAAATCATATATACATATTGGTTATTTTGGTATTAAATGTTATTAGAAGTTGTATTATGTCATTTTCACTAAAAAGATGAAAAAAATGAGTCGAAAACAATAATTTCAAAAATTACATGAATCGTAAAGAGTGAATCGAATCGTGAATCGATTGTAAATCGTGTGATTCACTAGAGATTCACTTCCAAAATGGATTTACTCATAGATTCGTATCGATTTTGCAAAAATTGCGTATCGAATCGTGAATCGAATCACGAATCGTAAGATTCTGATAACGGAGCTCAGAAGTATGCCACAACCTAACACGTCAGTGATGTAACCTATAATACTATACAACAGAAGTTCATATTAAAATTCAAGTTTCAAAATATCTTCAGGGTACAAGAAACTCCAACTCAAATGCTCTTGATCAACAATAGAGAAACCCTTACTGTCGGTATCAAATACGTAGTTAAGAAATCTTACTTGTACATTACATCGAACATCTCATCAACTAATTTCTTCAAATTATCATCAAATGTATCAATTCGCTTATTCTTGGTTCTTAGTATAGGGTCTGGGTATTCCACAATTTTGAGAGGTGCCTCAAAGCTCAGATCAGCCGCTACAAATAAAAAGAACAAAAAAAGGTAACAATTGGATCAGAACAAAACAATAAATTATCACCACGAATTAGAGGTCTACTACTTTCATTCAAAAATTATTATTAACCTCCTTTTGGTTGCCAATAAGGAAACAAAAAGAAAACAAGTCCATCTGTATTTCTTGGCAGCAAACAATTTATTTCATGTTTCTTCAATTTTTTTCCCCAGGACATTTAGTAAACTCAATTTCTTTACTTCTTTCGAATTTTCTCGGAAACCAAACAGAGCATTAAACCCCAATCCTATATGCAGCAACATAAATTTTGTAAATATTTAGATTTCAAGTGATTCGATTGAGTGTTAATCAGTGAATACAAGTTTAGAACACGCATTACAAAAACAGAAACAAAGAGGGGACGAATTGGAGTTGCTTACGTGAAGCTACTTCGTCTTCTTTGACAGAGAAGCCTCGCTTGGCCTGAGCATGGACCTCCATTAGAGGATTTCTGAGGCGGTTGGGGGTGGACATGAGGGGGCGGAGATTAGAAGGAAGAAGAGTAGGGCGGCGGCGAAAGAGGAAGGGAAGGAGAGAGTGAGAGATAACGGAGGAAGAGGAGTGGAGCCAAGTGGCCAACGTCGAACAAGCCATCACCACTCGGAAGGGTCAGGCGCAGGACCCTCGTAATTTGAGGCTAGAGCCACAGACCCCAAATGATTATATTAAAAGGACATTTTTTGATTTTTTTAGCATAATTAAAAAGTTATGTTTGTGATAAAAAATAGAAAAATAAAAATATTTTTTATTTTTTTAATTTATTTGAGAATTGTAAAACAAAAAATAAAATTATTATAATTTTAAGATATCAACTGTTTATTTTTCTACATCTTTTTTCGCAAAAAAAATCAAAAAGTACACTTGTTTAAATTATTTCAAATAATTTTTTATTTTTATTTTACTTTTTAATTTAGTCAAAGGGGTCTTTTGAGAACACACCAAAAAAGTCAATTTTTTTGCTTTTTACTTTTTTTAGCCAAATTAAGCAATTTTTTTTATCTAAAACAATCCAATTTTTTGCCAAAAACATTACAAAAAAAGTCAAAAAATTAACTTTTTACCAATTTCTTAAAACACCACAAAATAGCTTATGTCAAACAACACATAAATTAAAGGCAAGTCCAGCTTAAATATTTATAAGTTTTATATAATTTTTAATGTATCAACAAATTTTAAAATATTTATTTTGTTTTTTAAAGTAGTGATATATGAAAAAATATATATAATTTACAAATAAATAAATTTTATAAATAAGATCGCAATAAGCCATCTATTAAAAATGGGTATGGCTACTAGTAGTTCTTTTTTTTTTTTTACCAAAAAGTATTTTATTTTTATTAAATAAAATTTATAGCGATCCCGGTTGTCCCTTTACTGTTCTGTTGTATTCCAGACTCGGTTCCGTGATGTTGGTAGTTGTATCTATCTTGCTGTCGTCCTTTAATTTAGCTTGATTGAATTTTAGGATGTTTTGGGCAGGGTTGTTACAGGTTGGTTAGGCCTTGGTTTCAATTCCTTGTTACCCAGTTTTTAGGAGGTCCGCTCGAGCCCTAGATTTTAGGAGGTCCGCTCGAGCGGGTCTTCTTGCGCTCGAGCGGAGATTGCACACTCCCAGTTTTTTGTGTCCTTGCAAAACTTTTGCATGTGTGTTTTTCACGCTCGAGCAGGTTTCTTTGCGCTCGAGCGATGGTGCTCGAGCGGGTACTTTGGCGCTCGGGCAGGTAGTACCTTTGGGTGTAAGTTCTGGGAGGGGAAAATCTACGCTCGAGCGGACTGGTTTTCGCACTCGAGCGGGTTTACTTTATTCCTGTGTCTTGGTGCTCGAGCGGGCCTTTTTGCGCTCGAGCGGACCTAGTTTTTGTTCTTGACGCCCGAGCGTTGTGTTTTCCGCTCGAGCGGGAATGTCGTATATCAGTTGGCTGCGAGGCAGTTTTAAATCACTTTTTCTCATCCTTTCTCTCTCTTACTTTTCCGAAAAGGCCATTTGAGATCCGCTCGAGCGGGAATATCGTATATCAGTTGGCATCTGGGCATTTTAAAATCACTTTTTACATTCTCTCTCTCTCTCTTACTTTCCCAAAAAGCCATTTGAGAGCTCCTCTCTCTAAAACCATAACTTCTCTCTAAGTATTGATCTAGCTAGGGTGCTTTCCTCACCTTTGGCCTTTACAAAACGGTTGTTGATCATCGAGGGCTATCTTTTGATCCGAGAAACTCGTGGTTTGGAGCAACTTCGTTTTCACCATCTTCTTCTTTAGGTGTCATCTTTTGAGGTAGGGATTCCTACTCACAACTATGGGTTTTGACCTAGATATTTGGGTATTTTGTTAAATGGTTGATTTTGGGAAGTTAGGGTTTGAAAATGTTGAAAAGGGGCTTTTATTATTTTGATTCAAAAATATGTGTTTCGGGTTTCAAAATAATGATTTTGTTGTTGGTTATTGATATATAGGCCATTGGGCCAATATTGGGAAATGGAGTAGAAAATCCCAAGTTGTTGAATAAATTAATTGGTATAATTAATTTGAGGAAATTGTGATTATATGGAATGGAGTTGGAAATAATGGAATTGCGTCATTATATGGTTGAATAGTGGAGTTAGATTTGTTAATCGCTCACTTTTGAAAACATTGATATTTTATCTGTTGGAGTTTTTATTATCTGTTTAGAAATAATTGCTTGGGCTACCGGTAGAGGGTAATTTTGATTGTTGTAGACAATGCATGATGATTAGGCAAACTAAAACTAATCAATTGGATATGTCATAGAGTATGACGGTTGACAGAATACATTAACGTTATGTATTGATTGATTGTGTATATGACCTTTGTGTATATATGCATTGTGTGTGTGTGGGAGGAGATAGGGGATGTACTCCACGGTTTAGGGGAAGATAGGGGATGGACCTCTAAACCGGATGTTGTTTGGGAGGAGATAGGGGATGGACTCCACTGACACAGCTCATATGCTTGTCAGATAATGTGTTGATACAGCTCATATGCTTGTCATTAGAAGTGTTGATATAGCTAATATGTATATCTGTTGAAATGTGGATATAGCTTGTATGCTTATCTGTTGAGATGTTGATACAATTAATATGTTTATCTGTTGTATAAACGGGAGATGTTTTATATGAGTCATTGTCTCATATAAGTGGTTGGCCAGGTTCTGAGCCGTTGATGAAAAATGTGTAATTGATAAGAAATGGAAACTGAAATGAAACATGAACATATGATCATGAAATGGAAATGGATTATGAATTGGTTTATGGAAATTGAACATTTATCAATTGCTAATGTCATAGTCATTGCTCATACTGTGTTTAGCATATCTCTGCTGGGCGTTGGCTCACCCTTTATGGGACATCATTTTCAGGTACAGGTAGCATGCCACCTCCAAGGACATAGCTTGGGAGGCTAGAGGCAGGCAGATTGCTTTGTTTATATTCTTTTGGTGTATTACATGTAAATTCAAGCCAAGGGCTTTATATGTATTGAGTTAGTACTCTTCTTTTATAATCAAGTGTTAACTTGGAAAGCTGTAAGCCCGTAGGGCGTTTGCTTTGTTGATTAACATGTAATACTTTTGTAAGGAACTACTCTGATGAATAGAAGAATATTTATCTTTTATACCAATGCATGCCTATGATGATGGGTTTAATGTTATTATTTTGAGCGCGTTACAAAATTATAGTAAGTTTCTTTATATTTTTGCAATTATCCCTTCTCATTTTTTCCTTCTTAAAGTGAGTAATTTTGATATTTTATGTGAAAATTTGTGTAACACCCACAAAATATGATACAAATAAACTATTCATAAGATCTATGGACATAATGGAAATATTATACTTTCATTTATCAGAGTTTATATTACAAAAGATATTACATGGATTACACCTTCATAAATGGTCATTCTGAAACTACAGTATGTATGTAACAACCCACATTTTTGTCCTAGTCATGTTGCATACATTTATATGTTTTGCCATGATAAGATGCTATAGCGACCCATATTCATGTCATAGTCATATTCAAATTCATTTACATAGCTTGTCTTGTTAAGTTGCATTCATGAATCTTGCCTTGTTTTGATGTCTATGTGATTTGCTTAAGTGTTGTGTACCTGCTTTGATCCCTCCTTGGTGCCTCAAGCCTAAGTTATGTTAAGCCTAGGTTATGCTGAGCCTAGGTCACGCCAAGCCTGAGTTATGTTAAGCCGAAGTCATTCCAAGCCGAGGTCATCTCCGGTCTAGAAGTATCTTGGAACCCTTTTGTTTGACCTCCGCCTTCGCCCTGACATATTGGCCGAGATGTCATTATCTTGGCTGAGGTGTGAATCACCAAGGCCGAGATGTGTATCATCTAGGCCGAGATGTTACCTTTGCACCTGAGTGACCTTGTCCTGGAGTGGTATGACCTAGACCGAGGTGTGGAACATCTAGGCCAAGGTGTGGCACAACTTAGTCAAGAGTTGTCCTTCCTAGCCGAGGTCATTGTCACCTTAGTTGACGAAGCTTTGTCCTTAGCTGATGTCATCAATTGCCGGAGTGCCAAACCGAGTAGCTTGTTAGATACGCTTTGTCATGGTCTTGTCTTGTCAATCTATCACCTTTTTGAAGAGAACTAGTCAACCGCTGCTACCTGTCCGAGCTGAGAGTTAAGTCAGCCGATAGAGAGAGAAACCTACCATTTGTTGTATCTCTTGTTTTGAAGAGAAGAGAGAGAAGCTCTAGAGAAGAAGAAGGGTTCTTGAGGGAGAATAGATTTCTAAGCTTGATCCCTAGAGATCGAACCGTTAGATCCGTGTTCTAAGGTTAGATTCTTGCTCCGCTCTTGTTGTTCCTTATGTTTATGTTATTGCATTGCATGATTGAATGTGATTTGTAAGCCATGCATTGCTTTGAGGTTCGGTTTTAGAAAGAGAAAATGGCATTCATGTGTTCTTCAAGAAAAGTCATGTTTTGATCCGAAGGCTCATGCCTAGATCTATGTTTTTGTGTTTGTTTTCACATGATTCTCAAGTATGGGTACCCAGGTCCATGTTTTCGAACTCATAGCATGAAATCCTAGATTTTTGTAAATAAAGAAGTTATGATTTTAGCATCCATATTCCTCATGTTCTTCATGTTCATGTTCTTCCTGTTCTTCATTGGTGGAAACCCAGATCTCCAGACCTCACTTCCTGAAGTGTAGTCACCGAGATCACTCTTACCTAGACCTCACACTTAGGCCAAGCATCGTATCTCACCTTGGCCTACCTTGCATGATCACTTACACTTTCAGTTTGTCTTGTGCGCATCTCGGCGTGCAGCCGCATGCCGAAGCCTAGGTAGCCACACCTCGGCCAGGAGGTGTGGGACCTCGGCAAAGACCTGGTTGGTACCCCACATGTCTTCCTGACATGTAAAACAGTGTTTTGACTTCCAGCATGTTTTCCCGAGATTAATTGCATGCACGTTAGACTTGTTTTGAGAAGTATGTTCAGTATGCTTGCCATGTGTTGTAGGACTTGGACCTTTGCCTTGATCCCGACGTCCCAAGAACTATGTGAGTGGCATTTTTAATAAAGCTATGTTCTTAAGGTTTTGATAAAGCTTTGCCTTGTTTTGATAAAAGTATTTGTTAAGCATGAATGATATCCCT